GACTGAGCAGGAACTTAGTAAAGCACTTGGCTCAGGGCTTGTGCGCGGGCGCGGGCCTCAGGGCTTGTGCGCGCGCGGTTCAGGGTTCAGGGTTTGTGCTGTTTATTCCATCGCCTGATTCCAGGTTGGCCTCGGGTTGAGTTTGGAGAGATTTTCCAGAGACGGCAGCTGGCCGGAATAAACCCACCTCAACAGGAGGCAGAGGGGAGCGAAGGTGGAGTGGGGATCAAGTCAGATCATAAGCGGTAGCTGCGAAGGGGGCAGGAGCAGCCCCCCACGCCGGCAGCAGGCAGGGTGAGTCGCACAGAGGCGTACACAGGCAGGTGTGGCGTCTGAGCAGCTGTGCAGGCGCCCGTGGCCAGAGTCACTGACTTCTCAGAACTGGGTGTGTGCACAGTTCTGGGTTCTCGTTGCCGAAGCGTCGATAAGGCAATCATCTCTTCCCAGTCCCCCACGGCCCCGCCCACGGCCCCGCCCACGGCCCCACCTCCATGACGCTGCTCGCGGGCAGAGTGCCAGGATATGGACGGAAAAAAAAAAGAACTTATTTATTTTATTTTATTTTTTCATTTATTTATTTTAATTTGACCAGAGAGAGACACACACAGAGAGCGAGGGAATGTGAAAATGCAAGCCACCAGGACCAGGTCCAGGACAGGAACTGGGGTCAGCCGTGTGCACCTTAACCACCACACCACCTGCTGGTCCCATTATCCCAGGAGGGGTGTGCAGCCTCCACACTCCAGGATGGCCACATAATATCCCGGCCACATACGGTTTTCTCTGCGGAGGTTAGCTCTCAGTACCAAAAAGGATGCAGGTTTATTTTCCCCTCCTTGAAGACAGGCATGATTGTCTTGATGAAAACAATGAGAGGAGGGGCCGGCAGGTGGCATGGTGGTTAAGGGTACTGGACTCCCATATGACCCATCGGGGTTCAAGTCCTGGACCTGGTGGCTTGCTTTCTCGCTTTCTCTCTCTCACTCTGTCCCTCTCTGTTCAAATTAAATAAATAAAGGGACCAGCAGTTAGCGTAATGGCTATGTCGCTGGACTCCCACGTACTCGACTGCGGTTCACGTCCTGGACCCGGTGACTTAAAACTCACGCCGGGCGCATGTGCGTGCGTGCCCAAGATCCCGAGAGGAGAATGGAGGAGAAGGGATTGCGGCATGGCCATCCCCCCTGGGGGTGATTTCTCGCTTTCTGTCTCTCTGTCTCTCTCTGTCTGTCAGGCGAGCACACGCACCCTATAGCAAAAAAAAAAACCTCTCTAAAAAAAAGAAAAAGAATAAATAAATAAATAAATAGTTTCAAAATAATTCTAAAAAAAGAAAACAATGAGAGGGAAGCAACATTGCGTGTCCTTCTTTATAAAAAGAGCCAAAGGGGCCAGTAGGTGACGTGGCGGTTAAGACGCTAGACACTCCCACTGTACAACCACGGTTCAAGCTC